TATATATATATATATATCTCACACAAAGACGTTAAATCTCTAGATTCAGCTCCTCTTGCACGGAATCGGGTGAATCGAGTATACCAGAATTCCTACTTCTGGGCCTATAGAGATGTACCCCTTCTGTCACTCTAGTGAATAGAATATCGTGTGTATACCGTACGCTTGCCTGAGACGAGCGGCGTTTCGGATAGATCACGGTTGAAATTCCAGTCGAGATCAGAGTTGAAATTACACGACTCCGAGATCTGCAGCAAATTCTAATCAGATTACTTGTTCAAATCTCTGCCTCATTGCATTTTAATCTCCGCCTTGAAATATTTTCTTGAGAAAGATTTCATTTATCATGGACAAACTGAATACAAAACGAATGCTCATTTAGATTATAAAAGAATGAAAACAAACTTATTTTTTAATTTCCGATCGCAAATGGTGCAATGACACTTAACTTCATACAATTTCTCGCTCCAAATTAATGTAATATAAACGACGAGGATGTTGATTCGCGACACAATCTGATAAATCTACGATCGCTCCGGTTACTCTTCGCTATGCTACGACAGTACGGCGCAGATACCTTAATAGACAGTGAGAGAAAGAGAGAGAGAGAGAGAGCAGCATACATCTCTTACATGGTGGTTACGTAAAGAGGATGAGTGTCGTGTAGAATAGGCCATAGTCAGTACAAGAAGCTGCTGCGCAGTAGGGTAAAACAGGGCTTTGACACGCACTTAATCACGCCGCGGTTTCTCCATCTCCGGTCCTCTTCGTCTTATTCTCCGCCTTTCGTCTCTTTCCTCCCTTTGCCGTTTCTCTCTTAGAGAAAGGCTGAGTAAAGCCGCAAGAACAGTCTCCTATTTGCGCCCATTCTCTTTTCCCTCGTACCTCACGCTCATTCTTCTTCGCCCTTCCTCTCTCGCGTTCGAAAAATACTTTGTTTAACAACGAGGCGAAACGTTTTCTATTATTAAAACACGTTTGTGATGCAATTAATTTTTTGTATTATTTCATAATCGTGTATATTTCATAAATCGGATACTGATACCGTTAATTTCGTAAATTTTATTACTTCAGATAATTAATTCGTTAGTAACATCTCAACTGGAATCCGTTTAAACTGTCGTTCTCGTTCAAGTAAGTAAATTACAATGTTGTTTGCGCGTCTTTTCATTGACATGGTTAATTGACTGGTGACGAACGGCTTACTTCACGTACACGAAGAAATATATTTGACGTAACCACAATTCATTCGTTACTGCGACATCTCGTAAGCACCATTAATGCATTACACCCGCTCTGATCGTAATGCGGAAGGAACGCATCGTAAGCAGGATGATAAAGCGCCAAAGCAAACTGTCGCCACGTGGTACAAGCGGCACTGTCGATTCTCGCCTTTCAACCAACATCCCTCGTTCGTAGAGAATCAACAACCTCTCGCGTCAGACCCCAATTTCCGCAGCAATAATACCGGCTTAAACAAAGCCCTATGCGTGCACCGTGGCACGGCTGCAGGGGACGTGCACTCCAGAAACATTTCCCTCTCGGCAGCCAGCTACATACGCGCGTGTACAAACAGGCAGTTCGATGCAATGTAGGACTCGTGGTCTGTCTCGATGTGCGGCTCTCCTCTGTGGCGCTCCTGGATCCCATTATAGAGTTAGAATTCAAATTTAGCTGACTGGGCTTCCATCTACCTACGAAAACGTCACCCTTACACCTATAATCTGCGCGCGAAATTACACTGTCGCGGAAACAACATTTTCGCTCATTTTCATTTCGCCCCCATCTTGCGGAGATTCGTGTTAATTAAGATATCCCACGTTGAAATTGCTATATCACGATGTAGGATTCGATTTAGGATGTAAAAGTGACGTTTGATTTTGATGATGATTATTAATATTTCTTTATAACACTGTTAAATTTGTAATGTCTAATTGTACATAATTTTAAATTAACATTTCTATAGGCTACTGCTCCTATTATATTGTTATTCGCCTAATATATCGTTAATTTAATTAAAATAATGAAATTAAAGATGTTTTAAACATATTTTCAAAATGATAAGAAAAATTTTGAGATTTATGAAAAATTTAGAGATTTGGTGATGATCCATATCTGGTATTTGGATCATAATTTTATATCATTATTTTAATAAATAATAGTATTTTTTTAATCTGTGCTTTAATAAAAATATATGGAAATATATTATAAAATAAATGATAAAAATCTGAATTTTTAAATATAAATACATTCAATATATTTATTTATGTAGAGTTACATTGCGATACATA